AAGAAACTAAATAATAACTACTAAACAAAGTTTAATATGTAAAAAAATACTTACCACACTTCTGCCAATACCTAGGGACTTGGAAGTATGCATCGAGTTGTGATATATATATAATTTTCTTTTCTTGCACGTCCAAGACGAGCAAGAAAAAATGAAATCCGAGGAGCACGGGGAAGAAGACATACTTAACGCCAATCAAGGACCCAACAAGCTCATCCATCACAACAATAGTACTTCTACTCAACAAAGAATTACACCGCTCATAATCGTCAACTATCCAGACAATTTTTTTTTTTGTTTTTTTTGTTTTTGTTCATAGTTTTCAAAGCAGCCACCACATCACTCTATAAATTATATTATATTTTTATCAATCAGTAACAATTAGTAAAATTGAAAAGTATATTAAGATAAAAGTACCTGAGCATAAATAGGCAAGAATCGGACGTGAGGATGGAGACCGTGCAGGATCATCATAAAGCAATCGATGATTTTAGAACTCAATTCTTCCCGAACAATAGATCAATCATTGACTTTCCTCGCACAAGCACTCTATCGTTGCTCCACAGAATGTTTCTACCAAAATTTGCAATTCTAATTAGAACAATATAACATAAATGTAAAAAATTAAGAAACTAAATCAATTTCTATTACCTCAGGTGATTGCTATTCAGGAAAGATCGGATGGCTGCCCGATCTTCGTCCTGCAAATCATCATCCTCATGCCCGCAGAAGTCTTCCCTCCCTCGAAAGCTTATCAGGGAAGACTCCTCGATCTCCTCGGCCTGCAAATCCTCATTCTCGGTCTCACTCTCCTCAATCTCCTACATTACAAAATAATTGGTTAGTTATGCTAAAAAATAACACGAACAATTATATATATATAAATCGTAGTTTAATTACTCACCATAGGCAGCTTCAGCTTTAGTTTTTTTCTTTTTTTTTTTTCTCTCTTTTTTCTGTCTTTTGGGACCGGATGATGGGGGCATCACGAAATCGACAGGCTTCCCCCTTTTCTTCCTCCCCCGCCGCTGTTGCACCCTCTTCACAATAGAGGAGGCCTATGGCTTCTCCTCCGTTGGTGAGTGCAGGCCGGCCTCATCCTGCTGACTTGACATACCGACTGACTCCATCACAGCGTCGATGAGTCGGTCCAAATCATCATGCTCTTCAATTTTTTTCTCAAATAGTACCAAGGCCCATTCTTCTTTTTCTTTTTCCTCTTAATCCTCCAGATTCTTCTCTTCCTCTACCTCATTCTCTTTCTCCTTTTTTTCTTCTTCCTCATAATCCTCCAGATTCTTCTCTTCCTCTACCTCATTCTCTTTCTCCTTTTTTTCTTCTTCCTCATAATCGGTCGGGACAAAAAATCCTTCACTAGCAGCAGAAGTTTCTCATTGCTCCTCAACAGCAGCTGCTTCTGGTTCCTCCTCAGTCTCTTTTTCTTCTTCCTTTTTTTCTCTCTCTTTCTCCAACAATTCAATTTTTTTTCTCAATTCTTTATTTTCTTGCAAAACCATGGCCAGTGTACGGGTCTCCACCATTCCCTGTGATAAAACATAATATATTAATGTTGAAACATAAATATATTAATGTTGAAACATAAATATTAAAGGCAACCTGACACTCCACAAAGCCACGCTCGGCAACCACTGGCGATACCGAGTACACCTGCAAAGCAAATCACAATGATATCGATTAACCAAAAAAATAAAAAGAAGAAGAAAAACATAATACTATAACACTATATAAATTACCTTATGTCTCATCACTTTTTGAAGGGATGTTAAAGACCCTTCCAGTGTAGACGGTAAATGGCTCCCGGTCCATCGAAATAGACGGGGAATTGCCTCAACTGTGGAGCATTTGCCCAGGGAAGGCACCCGCTCGTACAACCAAGCCTACACAAACATAATTTCAAAATTACACAATCCCACAAATAAATATTGTTGTAATATTATTGTATTAAGAAATTGAAACACATATATACATACCATCAAACCCACAGCACAACCATCGAAATACGACCGGTCTCTAGAATCAGTATGACGCACCAGCTCAACAATAAGGAATTTGTGAGTAGCATCTCCCCATGCATACTCACAAATCCTACTCACATCCTCTAGGTAAGGATAAACAAACCTAGGGATGGAGTAACTAGAACAGGGAAACAATATACAGCTAAAAACAAACAAACTGTACATCCTGATGAAGTCGTCAACACGACCTTCATCGACAGAAATTTTTTCCAACAAATCTACCACTTCTTTTCTTTTCAAAAGCTTTTTATCTAACCTGCCCCAACTGTCAAATAGGGCTTTACAATCAAAAGAAAGGTCTAAGTCAACACTTAGACCACCCTGGCGCAGCCCCATTGTCACACAAAATTCAGCCGAATCAAAATTCAAAACCAATTGATCACCAACATAAAATGCATTAATGTCTGCCCTATATAAGCTAATCAGGGCTTCAAGTCTAGTATGTGAAACATGGATCTCAGGCATATTAACGAAAAATAAAAGGCAAATTTGGATCCAAGCCATTACAATTCTTCGATGTTGGAGATCTGCCACTAGAATTCGTATATTTTGAAATCTGCCACTGCAATTCTTGGACTCAATGATTATGGCCATTTTCTACGTATATGAGCAGGTTAGGCCCACTGCCATTTTCTCCGTTAGACATCCTGTTTCCCTCTCCGTTTTCTTCCTCTACACACGAACCAACGGAGCCCCCGCCGACGGCCCCGCCCCGTGCCCGCCCCAGCCGGAGCCTATGAACTTGTGTAAATGGCCTATATGGCCTGGGAACAAGAACCTGTGAACTTGGTTGTGATGATGGCCTATATGGCCTAGAACCTAAACTTCTTTACTGTCCGAAATGGCAGCTTGGATATGTATTTAATATATTTTTTATTTTTATTATATTTTGAGTTGGTTAATTAGCCAACTTGCGGTGTACCGACGAGACTCAAAAACCGAGTCGACCATTACCGAAAAATACTTTTATGAAAGTACGGGAAGCGGAGAGTGCGTTGGTGGCATCGATTTATGATTTTGAGGTCCCGACCATTTATTTTGGGTAGCCCGAAGTTGAGAGAAAAATGGCAGTGGCGGTGATTTTATTGTCATTTTCATTTCTAGACTTCGGGTAACAGTCGGCCCTCGTCAGGTGTGCTTTCACGTTTTGAAGTTTCGAGCATTTATTTTGAGAAGCTCGAAGTCGAGTGCGCATAATAGAAGAATAAAAATCCGTTTTGCGGGGTTCCGTAAGGTTGCGTGTGACCTCGGTTTAACGAGAACTGAGTTGGAGCGTGTAAACATTTCAAGCACGATTCCATAAGAACAAATTTCGCATTTTTCCGAGTTCGGAGCATTCAATTATGGGAGTTTGAAGTTCTGCGTTAAATAGTATCAAAAGGAGCAAATTTGTCGAGGACGAGTTCGATCGTTCGAGGCTTCGTTTACTCAAATTTTTCAACTTTTCGTCTATTTGAAAGGAGGTATAGTTCTTGATTATTATTATAATTGAGTCCGAGATTTTTATTCGTGTGTAGAGGAAGGAAACGGAGAGGGAAACAGGATGTCTGACAGAGAAAATGGCAGTGGGCCTGACCAGCTCATACACGTAGAAAATGGCCACAATCAGTGAGTCCAAGAATTGCAGTGGTAGATTTCAAAATATACGAATTCTAGTGGCAGATCTCCAACATCGAAGAATTGTAATGGCTTGGATCCAAATTTCCCAAAATAAAAAGGGCTTCGTCGAAGAGCCTCATGGTATTGTTCAGACAAAAAAATAAGAATTCGGTCCATCACATCTTTAAAGTAAGACGGGGCGCATCGACATCTAAATTAGATCCCTATTATAAACATAAAAAATCAGGAAAAAACCGTAAATCATAAATCAGTAGAAAACCCTAAATCAGTAAAAAACCCTAAATCATTAAAAAGCCCTAATCAGACATGCCTCAGAAATTAGGAAAAATAATCAGAAAATTTCAGAAAAAAACCCAAATTATAAGGATATTAGGAACACAAAACAGAAATTAACAAATAACCCCAAACTCAAAAATTAACAATAAAACCATAAATTTTACGAAAAATGCATGTGTTTGGAATTTAGGAAATATTAGTAAATTAGGAACAAAAATCATAAATTAGCTGAAAGAAGCCCTAAATTATCACAAAATTAGAAACAATTTCATATAATTAACTAAAAGCCCTAATTGACAAATTACCCTAAAATTAGGAAAAAATCAACAAAATTATAAAATACCCATGTTAATGCCTTTGTTGGTGACTTGGCTGGTGTGGAGGAGGATGACGGCTTATTCTCGTTGAGCTTCTTCTTGCCGCCGGCCATCGCGACACAGACATAGAGATTGCGGGGGATAGAGGGTGAGACGGACAGAGAGATCGCGATACACAGATATCGTGTCTACCAAGACGACGATGGTGAGACAGCGGCGGTGAGGTAAAATCGCGGGGGAGAGAAGATGACAGAGACAGAGACAGAGATCGAGTGCGGAAAGGGAGAGAGGGCGAGAGAGAGAGAGAGAGAGAGAGAGAGAGAGAGAGAGAGGGATGAGTGTAAAATATTTTTTTTTTGAACAAAATAAGTGAAACTGATATTATTAGTATATATAGGGGGAGTGAAAAGGAAAGATAAATTTGTAATGGGGACCGACATGTCAAAAAAAATTTGATGAGGGACTGAAAAAGAAGTTGAAATTAGGAGGAGGGATTTTACAGGAATTTTCCGTAAATAAAATGAAACAAAACAATAGGCATTTTTTATCCGACGCCTGATACTTCCCGAAGATGAGGAACAGATCCGCTTCTTCTTCTTCCTCAACTGCCTTCTCTTGTTACTTGAAAAACATCTTTCCTCAAATTCTACTAATTTTCATTTATTTCCTGTTAAATGTCGAAATTGGGAGTAGTTTTAATCCCTTGATTCAGCTCCCAACATCAAGAAACAACAATCCCAGCAGCTCCAAAATGGTCCTTAATGTCAATGATTTTGGTGCTAAAGGAGACGGAATCGCAGACGACAAAAGGGTATAAAACTCTCTCTCTCTCTCTCCTTCTCCCCCGCATCAGCAATTTCTTTAGTACATAATCATACTGTTGTTTAGTTTTTTTTAACATATAAATAAGATTCTTGTTTTTTTAACGTTATTTTAACTGTAAGATGGAACGTTTGTTTGTCGATTAGTGATAGCTGGCTTTCAATTTCATAAGACTTGTTATGATGTTATGTTTGGATGTTCATAATGTTAGAATTCATCAGAAAATATTGTTCTCTCTAATTTGCTTTTCTACTGCTTTTGCTGCTGTTGTTGTTTGTTTGTTTGTTTGTTTGTTTTTGGTTCTGTTTATGTGGTTATTGTTTGTATGTTTTCCAAAGATACAACCTTAACCTCCTACCCTTCCGGGGTGTTGTTTGTTAAAAAAAAAAATTCCAAGGATAAATATTTTGTACATACTAATCTTGCATCTACTTAAAATCATTTTAAGGAACATTTTATCATAAGCGCAATGCATTTCCATCGCAAAGTTCCATCTTTAAAAGTTTCACCTCGCAACTTAAAATGGTTTCAAATTTTGTTGCTCGTAGGTTTTTGAAGACGTGTGGAAGGTGGCATGTTCTTCATCATTGCCAGCAAAAATTGATATTCCTGCAGGAAGCTCCTATCTTGTGAGACCAACTGACTTTGCTGGGCCCTGCAAGTCGAATATAACCTTGAGGGTAAGATCCCAAACAAAACCACCTGAAAATGTTGATGTAATGGAGAACGACACCCACAGGTTCAGTTCACTGCCTGCTAGTAAATAGTAGAAATCTTGTACATCACATGGGATAGTTGTGTCTTGTGTGTACCACACTTAAGGTGTAGCCTGATTACTTAAGAATCTAACTTATTCGTTACTGCAATTCTTATATAGGAAAATACATTATTTTTTTCAGTTTCTAATAAATAATTGAATCTTTCTGTAATCAGGCTGAACTCTAGTGGTACTTTTATGATTATGCTGAAGAATATCCATTTACTGCATTTAAAGCATAATTTGTAACATCCATAGATAACTGGGACAGTTGTTGCACCACGAGATCCTACCGTCTGGGATGGTTTAGATGTGCACAAGTGGCTCTATTTCCATGGAGTACAGAACCTCACTGTAGAAGGAGGTGGAGTAATTGACGGGATGGGCCAAAAATGGTGGGACCAGTCGTGTAAGAGGAACGAATCAAATGTACTTCATTCCGTCTTCTCCTATCCCATTTTTTATGGTTAATTTCAAGTGTACCCTTGAAGTTCAGCATAATCACAAAGAAGCCCAATGTCTTTTAAAATCAAAATTGCTCCCCTAGACGTGGGGTGTTTGTAATAACACAAAGCTGAAGTGGGTGTGTTAGTAAGACCTTGGCAGCGTGTTTGTATTTTTTTTTTTTTTTTTTAAAAAATACCTGATTTTTTTCAGTTGTTGGAGTGAACTTCAGGGGTAGTTCTTGCTATTTACCTTATTTGTGAACACTAGTTGGATGAAAAAGACATCTAAAACTCATTATGTGGCCTTTTTTTTTTTT